AAGGTCCAAAACACGCAATATGCTTTTTAACAAGTTGGCTCCGGGAGGTTCAGATGCCCTCATTCAGCTCAGGACTTTCTTGCTGGGGGAGAGGGAAACTCCTGCCTCCTCCCCCAGCGTCAGCTAACGCTGTCATGGCTTGGAATGTGTGTGGGGGTGGAGACCTCGGCCCCCTCCTTTCCTACCTTCTCCGCTGTAGCCGCTTATCTCGGTAGGTGTCCTTGGAGTGGCGGCGTCTCCTAGCTCTCCTTTCCCCGCTAACGGCCCTGCTTTAGCCTGTGCTGCAGGGTGCTTGCTTATTGGCTTGGTAGTATCAGGGGGTCTCCTTTGAAGGGGGCATATCCTCTGGGGCTCACGCCTTCCCCACCATTCCTGACACAAGAGTTTAAGGTGTCTCATGTACTTTCTCCCTCAATAAACTGACTCTACTGAAGATCCCGGTGTTGAGTGTGATTGACTGGGAACCCTGACACCCAGTGCCTTTCCCCCTCACACTGAAACAGCTCCATGGTGAGTTATCACCTCCAAAATGGGGCACATAATTCCTCCCAGGGCCATTTTAGTGTGTGGGAAACAGTGTGAGTGGAAGGCAGGAGTCCCTCCTCCCCCCACGCTGCGGTCCCAAGTGAACCGGGCCCCTGCAGGCTAGTAAAAGCAGGCACTATGCACAGAAAACGGATATTATTAGTATTTTTAGAACCCCATCTTGAATTTCATAGTTAATTAATTTTGGAGCACCGTGAAGTAAATTTTAGAGTACTGTAGTTATTGTATTTTATATTATTCTGTACTGTTTTAATGTTTTAACTTGGCATTCGTGCCCCTTGTGAGCCGCCCTGAGCCTTCGGGGAGAGCGGGATATAAATTTAAAGATAAATAAATAAATTAATTAAAGATAAATAAAACAACGTTCTCCATAACTGCTGTTGGGGCTATGTGGGAAACTAGCCGGGGCCGAGGAACCCAGTCCTGACATATTAGCACATGGTGAAGTTTGGCCCTTCTTCAAAGTACTTTAAAAATAATACTAGTTGTTGTTGTTGTTCAGTCGCACAGTCGAGTCTGACTCTTCGCGACCCCATGGACCAGATCCCGCCAGGCCTTCCTGTCTTCCGCCGTCCTCTGAAGCTTGCTCAATTTCATGTTCGTTGCATCGATGACACTGTCTAACCATCTCATCCTTTGCCGTCCCCATCTTCTTTGACCTTCAGTCATTCCCAGCATCAGGGTCTTCTCCAGTGAGTGCTCCCTTCTCATTGGGTGGCCAAAGTATTTGAGCTTCAGTTTCATTATCTGGCCTTCCAGGGAACAGTCAGGATTAATTTCTTTTAGGATCGACTGATTTGATCTTCTTGCAGTCCAAGGGACTCTCAAGAGTCTTCTCCAGCACCATAGTTCAAAAGAATCTATTCTTCGGCGCTCGGCCTTCCTTATAGTCCAACTCTCGCAGCCATACATGACTACTACTAGTAGTTAGTGTTTGACCATGCTTTTAGAGTATTCAAAGTGTTTCACTTAGGTTGCATGTAGACAGCCATCTTAACTGTGGTTTGAGTTGCCAGTTCTGGGCCGAGAACTTCCTGGGGATTGGGGGACGGCGCCTGGGAAGGTCAGGATTTGGGGAGGGGGGGGGAACCACCGTCCAAAGTCGCCATTTGCTCCAGAGGAATTTATCTCTGTTGTCCGCAGGTCAATTGTAATTCCAAGATCTCTCCAGGTACCACCTGGAGGCTGGCATCCCTAAGCACGGCGCTGACTTGATGCTGAGGTCATTTAGCAAGTTCGCGGTAGGAGTGTGACGCAGGAGGGACACTCCCCAGTGTGTAGCTCAGCCTCAGACAGTGCAATCCTAAAAACACTTTTATGAGAGTAAGCCCCATTGAATAGAGCTAAGTAGGATACTGAGATGATTGATCTGAGAACCTCAGAGAATATGGGTTGGCAGTAGGAGAAGCCTGGTAATAAGCAAGGTTTCCAAACTCAGGGCCAAAACAGCAGCCCAAGGAGAAGTACAGGCCTGTGTAAGTGTTAGCCTGCAAGTTGGCCCATTTTGATGCAAAGGTAGAATGCTAGTGCAGGCTAATTAATGAATTATTGTTTGGCATTGTGTGAAGAATAACTCGGAGATCCTAAGATTGTCTGGCAGCCAAAAGTTCTAGCTCTTTAGCATGATACACCACTAGGTGGCAAGCTAGACTTGCTTTTAAGGTAAGAGACATTTCATAGGTGGTTGGCCATTCCCTGCCTCTGTATCACAACCCTGGTATTCCTTGGAGGTCGTCCTTCCAAATACTAGCCAAGGCCAACCCTGCTTAGCTTCTGAGATCTGACAGGATCGGGCTACCCTGGCCTATCCAGGGTTATTCTACATACAAGTGGGCTAACTGACATGGCAAGTACACTTATACATGCACTTTAGCCACGGCTGCTAGTTTGTAAGCCGCTCTGAGACTCCTTTGGGTAGTGAAGGGCGGGGTATAAATCCAATTTCTTCTTCTTCTTCTTGCAGGCTCTGCGGAGTTGTTATAAGTCCTGCAGGGCCCTGATCTCATACAGGAGCTCATTCCACCAGGTAGGGGCCAGGACCGAAAAGGCCCTGGCCCTAGTCAAGGCAAGTTGGACGTCCCTGGGGCTGGGGACTACCAACTGATGTCCCTCCCCAGGCTCCACCCTGAAATCTCCAGGTGTTTCACAAGTGGCTGGCAACCTTAAGTCCGGGGCCAGCACTGGCATCATCATGGGGCAACTATCAGAACCCACCACTGAGTCACTGGAAGTCTGCTGGTAGTCAGAATCGTACGGAGCCAAGCCCCAGTAGCTCTACCAGTACTGCTTTGCTCTGCCCAGAAAGCACGGAGGACGCACTTAAGAAGCGCCAGGGAGATCTTGTCCAGGACCTCCAAAGCCCACGACTGATCCTGACTGACCTTCACTAAGTCTATACACCCAACATTCTACACACACAAAAAGAACCAAACTGAATAAGAGTCTGCCTCCACCAAACACCAAGCAGTTATTTCAAAAGGCAGCGGATACTTACTGTTTGATTTTGTCTGTTGTGTCGTGTACGCCATCGAAGTCGTAATCAAAAATCGGCCCGGTTATGACATTGACTCCGTTCCGCTCAGTGGCATACCTCTTCACCAAAACCCTCTGAAAGTAATTCCACACTCCTGTATCAAGACACAAGATTATCCTTAAATCAGCAACAAGTGAAGTGAGCTCTGACTCGTCAATGTATACCTCCAGGGCTATTTTTGGGCAGGAACACACAGGAACAGAGTTCCGGCCGGCTTCAGAGTTGGCCACGCCCACTACAGCCAAAACCCCTGTGTGCATGGCTACAAAGGGAAGGCCTGGAGAGCGACACCCCTCCATTTAAAGGCCTCCCCGTGCCTTCCCCGGCCTGTCCAAGGGCCAGCTTGTCCGGGCACCCCGCAGCCACGGGACGCCCAGGCAAGCCAAGGGAAGGCATGGGGTGTGGCCTAATATGCTAATGAGCTGCGCTGTCAGGGGTGTGACCTGTTATGCTAATAAGTTCCTGCTGGGCTTTTTCTACAAAAAAAAGCCCTGTATACCTCTATCAAAAATCAGCAATCCATAAAAAGGTGGGCGACAGATTCAAGACAGACAAAAGGAAGTACTTCATCTTTACTCAAGGAGTGATTAAACCATGGATTTCACTGCCAGGGAACACAGTGAAAGCAGCAAACAGAGACGGCTTTAAAAGGGGATTAGACGGCTGCCAGCCATGGTGACTAAAGGGAGCCTCCATGTTCAGAGGCAGCCAGCCTCTGAATCCCAGTGCCAGGAGGCACCATCAGGGGAAGTCATTGGCCTCTATGCCCTCTTGCTGGACCTCCAGAGGAACCGGTTGGTCACTGTGTGAGACAGGATACTGGACTAGATGAACACAGGACCACATGAAGCTGCCTCAAACTGAATCAGATTCATGGTCCATCTAAGTCAACATTGTCTACTTAGACTGGCAGCTGCTCTCCAGGGTCTCAGGCAGAGGTATTTCACATCACCCACTGCCTGGTCCTATAACTACAGTTGTGGGGGATTGAACCTAGGACCTTCTGCATGCCAAGCAGATGCTCCATCACTGAGCCACAGCCCCTCCCCACTGGTCTGATCCAGCCAGGCTCTTCTTATGTTCATATATTCTTACGAGAAGTGCATATATTTTATTGGAGGGGTGGGGAGGGGAGGAGATTGGATTTATACCCCAGCCTTCATTCGGAGTCTCAGAGTGGCTTACAAACTCCTTTCCCTTCCCCTCCCCACAACAGACACCCTGGATGATTTCCCACAAGCACTGCTCCGCGCTCACTCCTCCCTTTTGCCCGATGGTACGTGTCAATTTCACACAAGCTGCTGCATTTTGCCCCGCAGCTTCCTGCGAATTTCCCCGTCAGGTCACGCAGCAGCTTGTGTGAAATTGTCACGTACCATCGGGCCAAAGAGAAGAGTGAGCGCGGAGCAGCGCTTGTGGGAAATCACCGCATGTGAGGTAGGTGTGTACTTGTGTGTATATCCAAGTAGAAGACGTAAAGTGGGAATCAGCCCATGCAACTGCTGCATATTATTCCCTTGGTTCTTCCTTTATCATCATCTTATCCAGAAGGAATTTTCTTAATGTTCTTTAGCATTCATATAATCTGCAGATTCATTTAGCTTCTGCTAAAGAACACTATTCATGTTCTGTTGTTGTTGTTTTTTATTCTCATCTGCCTGCCTCAAGCTACAAACAAAGGAAACAGGCAACGCCATTCTGAGACTGGCATTGCCCATGGGCACCCTACAGAGGTCTCATTGTCTTTTCCTTACAAATAGGGTGGATTTCTCTCACTGCCTTCCATGCAGCTAGGCATGCACGCAAACACACATTTGTGACCGCAGTTCCTCCAGACAGCATCCTTAGTGATCCTAGCTAGGATGATCGTGCCATTTGCCCACACTGCTCATTTTCAAAAAGCAATTTAAATTGTTCACAATACCTTTGCTAGACAGAGGGGAGCCAGGGCTCAAACACTACGCTCTGATCTGGAATCCCCTTTCCCCAGCCTTCTGAAGTCACTTGGTGGGTGAAAGAAATGCACCCTGCACCAGCTCAGGGGCACCTTTCACATAATCCAGGATTAATCACTGACACCGATGTCCCAAACTGAACCCCGGCAGATTAAGCCCAGTTTAGTAAAATCAATAGAAATGCAAATAGTCAATGGTTTAGACAACAGGTATCAATGGGTATGTGTCAGGACCCACAGCAAATCAACGAAGTACTGCAGAAAGCTACACTGGGATTTTTAAACTATTTCTGTGTTTTTCTTTTCTGCCTTCCTTTCCCCACCCTTCTGTATATAAACTAATTAAAAATTCAAAAAAAGAAAAGAAAAGAAAAGAGAGATTGGTTCCCCCGGAGGAAAGGGCTGCTTTGGAGATTGGACTCTATGGCATTACACCCTGATGAGGTCCCCGTCCTCCCCAGGCTCCACCCCCAAAACCTCCAGGAATCTCCCAAACCGGAGTCAGCAAACCTACACAGCATGATGTTCATCATAAGGCTCAGGGCTTTTTTTGTAGAAAAAGTCCAGCAGGAACTCATTAGCATAATAGGCCACATCCAACAGCAGAAACTCATTAGCATATTAGGCCACATCCAACAGCAGAAACTCATTAGCATATTAGGCCCCACCCTGACAGCACAGCTCATTAGCACATTAGGCCACACCCCCATGTTACCAGAAGTGTGGTCATCCAGCCACACCCACCTTTTGCTTCTTATTCTGTTTACCTTGTTTGTTGTCAAGACCCAGGGCCTTTTTTTGTAGCAGGAACTCCTTTGCATATTAGGCCACACGCGCCTACTGTAGCCAATCCTAATGAGTTTCTACTGCTGTGTGTGGCCTCTTATACTAATGAGTTCCTGCTGGGTGTGGCCAACTTGGGAGCCAGCCGGAACTCCGTTCCTGCCCAAAATGCAAGTGATGCATCCTTGCCAGGATCTGACCAGACTCCACCAAGTTCCACGCTCCATCTCCCACATCCGGCTAGCCACTGTTAGAATTCAGAACTAGACAGATCCGGGTATCGCCATGGAGACTGTGATGCCCTTAGCACAGTGATACTCTCTCAGTGGCTCGGGAGCCACA